CTCTTCTGCCAAAAGAAAATTAAATACACCCACAGGAAAAACAGTCTTCCTCTACAAAAAGCTCACAAATTTGGCTGCATATCGGAATCACCTGCAGAGCTTTTAAACAACTGTGATACCAAGGTCCCATTTCAGACCAATTGAATCAACATTCTCCGAGGATGGAGCTCCAGCATGGTTTGAAAGCCAGCCAGATGGTTTTTACATGCAGCCAGGGTTGAGAACCGCTGTTCTAGCTAAAGATTTGTGTTTAAGTAACCTCAGGAAACTCCCGGCATTTCCAAATGCTACTAGAAGTCCCTGAACTCTTCCCCCAGTACAGATGCGGCTCAAAATTCATCAATGACCAAACCTGGTTTAGTGTTATGTTTTGCCAATTTTAGCTTTGGTAATACAAAGTTACCTCGGACGAATCCCTATAAAGCTGAACTACTGGATCAAATATTAGGTAATTTTTTTTATTCTGATAAACACTGCAAAATTTCTATACCAATTTACATGTGTACCAAATGTGTACTGGTTTTTTTTTTTTTTTTTTTAAAGAACTCTTTCTGATAAGGAAATTGACTCTGCCTACCACAAGTGTTAAATACTTCTTCCCAGTTTGTTATTTTGCTTTTTGACTTCTTTGGCCCATAAATTTTTTTTTTTTAATATTTTAAAAAATGTATTTATCTTTAACTCTATGGTTTCTCTGGAAAGATCACCTGAACTAAAAATGTTTTCACAAATCCACTCATACTTCTAAAACTTTCAGAGTTCTATTTTTTTACATTTTAGAAGGTCAGGGTCTGCCCCCACCCCAATGTACTGGCAATTTGTCTCACCATCATTTACTGTTTAGTTCATCTCTTCTCCAGTGATATGAAATTAGCATGCTATCTTTTAAAACTCAGAACAAAGATGAGAAAAGACAATTTATATGTACACATATACATATATTTTGTTTATATAATATATACGTGTATGTGCATACATACGCACACACATACGCACACTATGTAAAATACAAGCTTAACACACTAACTTCCTACACTGTCAACAATAAAGTACGTATACAGGGTGCAAACTCCTTAATAAGGCTATGAAATATGAAGTGAACACAAGACACACTGTCTCCATGTTTCCCTTTCTAAAAGCAACACAGCTGTCACTAGGCTGCATCTTCCTCAAAAGTAGAGATTAAAGATCCCCTAGCAGTTTTCTCCCATGTTTGTACTCACCCTTGTTAAATGTTTGCTGCCACTAGGTGGAGACAGATTTGATGACTGACAGACGAGTAGCCACAAATTTTCTACAAACACTTATGGCAAAGAAGCTCTGTTTCCAAATTCTTGAGTGAACTAGGGTTTGTCACCCAAGTTTCCTCATTTGTAAATTTAAGACTTTATATTAAGTAGCCTCAAGATCCCTTTTAGCTCTAATATTCTGTGGATCAAAGCTTGCTTAAATGTCCTTGACAGTATAGTGCCTAAAGACAGTCCGGTTCTCTTGAGCAAAGGCATTCTACCTTCGGCAGCTTCTATCAACTTGAATACTTCAAGCAAACACAACAGTCATTACCTCATCTTGTCTTTTCTTTTTGAAGGAGGTCAAAAAGAGGCATATTATGTATTAAAATTCATACAGCTAGCTTCCCAAGTCACAGCCAAGGTTTTCTGTTTTTCTTTCTTTCTTAAAGAGAATAGCTGATCCATACTTCTCCATACCCATCTGGCTTGTCTGCATAAATACTTTAAATAATGAGCCAGTTACAGATTTGCTTGGTGCCAGAGGCTGTACATCTGAGGGTTTTTTGCTCTTTTTTTGTTTTGTGTTTTACTCACTTTGGTCAAATCTTCAATTTTTGTTGATTTCTTCAATTCTTAACTGTCTCTCCTCCTAATAAGACATATTCTTTCACTGGTATTTTACTTCTGGCTCTCTTCTGCCAGCCTAGATTTCTGACCCCTCCTAAAAATGTCTCAACCTCTGCTTGCCTAAGGGGTTTCCAGTCTACTGCTTCACCCAATTATTTGAATCAAGTCATTTACTGCCAAACTAATAATCCATTAGTAGTTTAGAAATCAGACAATGGCATAATCCAGAGCCTCAGCCCTGGATATGCACCAACTCCATACCAGAAATAGGGACCATTCTTACACATGAACTACTTTCAACTCTCCCAGTGTCCTAAGACAAAGTGCAAAGTATATTTGATAACTTCCTGAGCAGAGGAGAAAAATTCTGAGTCCCTAAGTGGAGCAAGGGAGGCTACCAACTTCATTCACATCCCTAAGCAGATCACAGGAAACAAAAAGCAAGGGAGTGTACTCATAAGGTAGCAGTAACCAGCTTACTATGAACTATTACTCTATGCCATCACCACACATGGTTGGCTTCCAGTAAACAATCTGTAGATCTAATGGCACAAACACATTAGCATCCCAATCTCTGGGAGGAGTGTGTGAAACACAATAAAGGCATAAAGCAAAGCTTAAAGATTTACATAAACTCATAATTAATAATAAAGCTAACAAGAGAAGTCTACCTATTGACTTTTAGCCCAAGGCCCCATATACCAGAAGTCAATAACTTTTGTAAAGTGCTATACCAAGCTTGTTGCCCTTTCCTGGGAAAAGAAATGCCCATCAAGTGTCAATTCTTATGAGAAGCAGCAGAGGTGCTGATGAACATATTATCCCTAGCAAGTAAGACAACAGCAACATTCCCCTTGTGTCACTGAAAATATACTAACAGGTTCTGCTTTTCTGAAAAAATTAAATTTGTGATGAAGTGGTAACACAGCATCTAAGAAAGAACAGATTAAGAAGGATTAAAGGTAAGCGAGGGAAAAACTGAAGGCTGATCCCTACGCTCTCCTAATAGCAACTACAGTAACTTCTGGAAAAGCAGGTAGGCGCTTCATTTGTAGATGTACACAATTACTCATACTCTTTAACCCAGTAATCCAGTCCTAAAAAATTATGCTATTAATAAATATACAGTATCATTTACAGGGTGTTTTATCATTTTATATGAAATTTCATTTAATCCTAACAACCCAGTGATGTAGGTACTATTACTACCCTCATTTAGTGAATAAGGAAACTGAGCTAAAATACAAATAAATAAGTAAGCAAGAAACTTGCTTAATGGTTTCACAATAAGTTTTCTCCCTTGTAATTTTAAAACTTTCTATTAAGTTGCCTCAAGATCCCTCTTAGCTATAACAGTCTGTTGATCAACGCCTGCTTATATGTCCTTGACAGTCCAGTTCTTTTGACAGTCTGGTGCCAGAGTAAAGACTCAAACCCAGATACGTGTGACTACAAAGGCCATGCCCTTAACCAGGACACCGAACATACTATTACTATTACTACTCCTTCTACTACAACTAATAATAATGTTGATAAGGATGATACTATCAACATGGAGATGTCTGCTACCATATCAACAAGAGAAAAAATTTTCAATCATTAGAAATAACAAGTATTAATACCACATGCAATGACTAAAAATACCTGTAAGGTAAAGTGATGAGAAAGAAACTACTAATTTACATCTGTACTACAATTACAGCTATGTAGAAGTTTTGTTTTAGAATGTAACATGGAGTTGTTAGGAGTTGTGGAGCTTTTTCCCCCTTTATTCTTTTTCCATTATTATGTTACAATATTATAGTAAGTACACATTTTAACAAACAATAAGACCACATTGGGCAAGAATAGAAGAATGTTTCTCGTGTCCCTTTTTCACATAACTAAGACCAAACCACACCTATCATCATAGAGTCCAACTGCTCCATATTTCCAAGGAGTGGCTGGTGGGTTCAAACTGTCAATCTTTTGGTTAGCAGCCTGAGCTCTTAACTACTGTGCCACTTTTAGCACATATTTTCTTTTGCAGAAAAACGGCTATTATGCGGAGTAGCAGCAGTCACAGACTGGGAGTCAGGAGACCTCATTTCTCATTCTGGGTTCTTGAAACAATTTCAAAAGCCAAAACCAATTTGACATCTCTTCTCTTCTGGTCCTCCTAGTCTCCCTGGTTTTTGCAGGTTACTACAGGCAGAAGTAGCTCCAGAGGTTTCATCTTCTAAGTTGATGAGCATCACACCCAAACCCAAACCTTTTGCTGTTGAGTTGATTCCGACTCATAGAGACCTTACCGGATGGGGCAGAACTGCCCCATAGGGTTTCCAAGGCTATAAATCTCTATGGAAGCAGACTGCCACATCTTTCTCCTGCGGAGGTGCTAGTGGTGACTTTTCAGTTAGCAGTCAAGCACTTTAACCACTGCACCACCGGGTCACTGTGTGTGTGTGTGTATGTGTGTGTGTGTGTGTGTGTAAATCCATTGCCATCGATGGGTATAATGGGTATGTGCATGTGTGTATATATATGTATATATATAAAAGAAGCCCTGGTGGTGCAGTGGTTAAGAGCTACAGTTGCTAACCAAAAGGTCAGCCGTTCAAATCCACCAGCTGCTCCCTGGAAACCCTACGGGACAGTTCTCTGTCCTACAGGGTCCCTATGAATCAGAATCGACCCGACGACAACGGGTTGGGTTATACACACATACCTATTATACACCCATTGATGACAATGGGTTTATATATATATAGTGACCCTGTAGGACAGAGAGAACTACCCTATAGGGTTTCCACAGAGCAACTGGTGGATTCCAACAGACGACCTTTTGGTTAGCAGCTGTAGCTCTTAACCACTGCGCCACCAGGGCTTCAATATGTATGTTGTTGCTGTTGTGTGTCATAAAGAGTCATTTCTGATTCACAGCGACCCTACAGGACAAAGGAGAACTTCCCAGAGTTTTCCTAGGCTGTAATCTTTACTTACGGGAGCAGATCACCAGGTCTTTTCTCCTGCAGAGAGGCTGGTGGGTTCAAACTGCCACCTTTCAGGTAGCAGCCGAGCACTTAACCATCGCACCACCAGGGCTCATATATAAATATTATATATACACACACACACACACACACACATATATATACAGACCTCTTTATAAAATGATCATGTGATATCTTTAAAAATCTGGAAATAATGCAAAGAGCTACAAATATGGGGAAAAAAAATTGTTATGCTCATTAGGGCAAAAGTACTTATTAGCAATTACACTTTGATAACCTTAATGAGTTCTTTAAACAGTCAATGCTAAAAGTGAAAACCATAAAACAGTCTGTGAGCTAATAATTAAAAAAAAAAAAAAAGCTTCAGTGACTAAAAGTAGCAGAGCTCATTCTCTCACAAACAAAGCCAATTAAACACTACTGAACAATAAAAAGAAGCAAAATGCTTCACGCACTGTTTACACCAGTTTTTCCTATACCTTCACTTTGTAACAAAATTCCTTAAATTGGTTATGACAAAAAATGTTTATATTTAAATTTTAAAAACATACCAACTTATGGATAGAACTATGTTTTAAGGAAAACAAAAATCTAAAATTTCCAAAAGGAAATGCATCAAAATTTAAGAGCAACTGAAACTAAGTATTGAAAGCATGGACAATTACCAGTAGGGCTCCTTAATATTCAAATAAAACCATTTAATTAATAATTTATAGATTCCCCACCACCACCACCACCACCATCTTAGCTCTTAAGCTACTCCTGAAAGCACAAAATAACAAACTGAACATAGGGATTAAAACTAAAAACAATTCTTTTAAGAAATTAGTGACATCTTATTTCCTCTGTGGAACCTTTTTTTCCTCTTTGGCACACTAATGCTGTCTTAATTCTCCTAAAACAATTATTTCAACAGATTATCCAGATAATTACAGAATAAACTGACATTAATAGTCATGTTATATTTATTACACAAAACTGTAATATTAAGCTTTCAAAAGTGATGGAAACTTCTGAAAAAAAAAATTTTTAAGGAGGCTATACCAATAAATTATCACCGAACCAAGTGGCAAATGAGACTTATATTTTAATACAACCATAATCAATTATATAGCAACAGAGAAATTCAGTGTTAATATTCTAGACAATAATAAACTACCGACATCTCAATGCCTTTAATAACATATATGCTTATTACTTTACAGTCACATGAGGAAATCTTCTTAGAGGGCAATAAACTTATATAAAGCATCTTTTCACTAATTCAGTGAGGCCTGTTTCCTTCATAAATATGCTAATTAACACTTTTAAGGTCCCCATAAATTCAGTAAACCTAGCCAACAGATACAATTTCCAATCTTGCTAAATGTATGTTTAAAAGCAGAGATTTTCTGTAGTTGATATTACAAAATGACTCTGATACATTTAAAATAAAACCAACCGACAACAGGTAATTCTCAGTCAAAATAGCAATAGCATCTATTTCCCCTACTCCCTTAGGCCCTTGCCATTTAAACAATCTGCAAAGTGGTAGTTTTGTTCCTACATGTACAATAAAAGTTTGGGGTATTGTCTCGAATATAAGATACTTAATCCTGGTGAAAAGAAATTATGAGGTATATCAACCCTAAAAGGCAATTTATTTGGAGGTTGAAGGGGGTATGCTATGTTATCCACCAGACTTGGGAAAACAAGGGTTACAGGACATCAACAACTCCTCCCACAACCCATTTCCGCCCCAAGCACTTACTTTTTAAACATGGAAACTCACAAGTTGAAAGTAGACATAAAACTATACCCAGGATCCACGCCATGGATCAATCTCTCCTTTTTCTATCTCCACACACATCTCTCATATTTACAATGGGCTCTGCTCTTCACAAAAACCGTTTCACCTACGTTACCTCTAACGTCTTTACAAATAACCTGTAAAGTCAGGTAGGGAAGTATTATTTTTACTTTATAGAAAACAGTCTCAGAAAGGGCAAGAAATCTTACCAGCAGGGGAATCACACTTAGAAACCAAGTCTCCTGCCTTCAATTCTGAAGCTCCTTCTACTATACAACACTACTCCCTCTGTAATATTGTGAAGCCTTCTATAAAACATTTGGCTGGGTTCCAAGACAGCCGTCCCAGAATGAATTAGACTCTATATAGCAAACAGTGTGTAAACAGTGAGGGTTTAATGCAATTACTGGCATGGGGGCACAAATCTTTTAAAAGCGAAGGATCAGTTGGTTTTAAATTAAATCAACATCATGTGTGTATGGTGGGGAGGACACAAGCTGAATAGTCTTCTAAAAAGTCAAAATGAGTACTACAGATCTGCACATTTCACCACAGCTAAGGGAGGTATGATCAATAAAAGGAGAAGAAAAAAAGGAGACAAAGAGTGGACAATCAAATATTCTTTTTAGAATAACGTAAAAGAATGCATGTTGTTTTTTGTTTTTTAGGAAATAAGATGAGGGACTTCTGTCTTCCCCCACCCCCACCAAAAGAGTAGCAAGATTTTGAACATTCGATTATAAAATAATAAAGGACACAGGAGAGAGTTTTATTTAGCCATCAAAATGAATGCTGGAACTGCTGGCTTTGTAATACAGTAGATCAGAAATCCAAAGACTCATTTCTAGATCAGCTACTGATATTACACAGTTTAAATTAACCAACTGTTTTACCATTTCAATTCTCACTTCTAAAAAGTCAAGTAACACTGTACCCAAACTATTTTTTTAATGAATTTGGAAGGAGGAAATAATGTCTTGATCAATATTTTAATTCCCATTATTCACTGCAAAATAAACATTTCTTGAACATCTTCTATGTGTTCTCCATATCAGGCTAAGCTAAAATGGAGAGAAAGTAGAAACTCATGGACTTTACAATTAGCTGACTAAAGCACAGAGAAATACTTAACTAATAATGCAATACCTATGGTTACATGACAAAACTGAGACATATCAGAGAAATGGCTTCCATAGGAGTCAACAGCAGTAGAATGAAGTTGGATCTGATCACTACAAAAGATGAAAATAGTAGTTATTAAGTTTAGCTAGACAGAAAAGAACCAAGTTGGTTGTTCTGTCCTTTGGGTTCCCAAAGCACATCACTCATCTGTTACTGCACTTAATATACTGTATGGTAGTTTATTTGTCATCCCCACTTGGACTGTAAATTCCTCAACGACAGGGACCTTGGTTCAACTTGTTTTCTACTCCCCAATGCCTTGCACTGGGTAGGGCACACAGAAGATACTCAGTAAATATTTTTCAAACAAGCAAGGTAAGGACAGGATTCTTATTTATTCCATTTTAACCTACACTGTTTGTACAGGTCATCTACTCATTGTCTCCCAACTCCAAAACCATCTTTGTAGACTCTGCTCTATGACTGCTGGAGCTGAGACCACACAATTATATTTCACCAACTCCTTTGCTAGCGCACTCCCAGTTAGGTTTTGCCAATGGGGGTAGTAAATGGAGATTAGAAAGCAGGAAGAGGAGTGAGGGGGCGCTTTCATTTCCTGTCAGCATCACCCCAGCAGCAGCCTGGCACCGTGGCAGCAGCAATTGGTTCCAGCCTTCAACTTCTTTTGGTACTCCCAGCACCAACCTTATCACATGCCTTCAGATGTACTAGCAGCAGCTGAACAACACTGACCTCCTCAAAGGTCCAAACCCCATATGCATGGGGCGTCTTCCCTGAGTTCTTAGGTTCCGGTTACTGTAATATTCCCTTTTTGCTTACGCCATTAACCAACTCTCTATATTAAATCCCCTTGTTGAAATTCCTATTGAAGTCTCTGTTTTCCTGACTGGATCCTAATATACTTTTAAACACAGTGATTCTAACTGCTCTCCTCTGAGACATCTTGCTGCTTCACTGAAGGGGAGAAGTAAAGAAAGTTTGGGGTTATTCTTATAGATAAAATCTATTTTAAAAGATAACTTGAAACCCTTTAAATTTGCTTCTGCTCAGGTGCAGGATACAAGTTTTTAACTTTTGTGAGTTAAACTATCAGTTTTGGAGAGGAAAAAAAGGGGGTGGGGAGGGGAAGTGAGAAATAATTTAAATGATGCAGGCTATTCCAAGCACACACTGCACCTCCTACTAGAGCACACATCCTAGACAAGAGGTAAGATGGTGGAGTTGATCTGCTGTTCCCCAGCAGTCTCAGTTCCTACGTGCCTCTCACAGTATGAGCATGACACCGTGCCAAATACGATTCTCATTATTTAAAGACACTTCTTTTTTTGTGTTGTTCAACACGGCCCCTAAATGCAAGCCAACTACCTCATCTAATGCTCAACAAAAGAAACTGCAATCTGTTCCAACTAAAGCTGAGCTGAACTTACTGGTAGGTTATTCCCCCTTCCTAAGGGATTTTCAAGTGTATTTTTATTTTTTTTAATTATGTGTGATTCTCATTTTACAAGTTGACTTTAGAACCTAACCTCTTCATAAAATACAACTCCACTCTACAGCACACAAAGGGAAATCCCCCTTGTAAGAGACCCCATAAGCAGCAACACATCTGTTGAAAACAAATGACCAAAATGCTTAGATGTTTAATATGATCTGTTACTTCACTTAATGGATGCCCCATTAAACAATTTTACCTGAGGTTAATTTCAAAAATAATTTTTCACTATTGTAATTAATATAAACTGTTTTTTGAAAAACTGTAACAAAATGGCAAACATGTAGAAGCAGCAGACACATTCTTAATCCATTCCTGAAATGAAATGGGAGAAGGCAAATTCAAGTAATAGGAATCTTTTTCAGAATTTTTAGTAATACATGCAGCTATTGAGCACCCAAAGAGCCCTGGTGGCAAAGTGGTTAAGCACTTGGCTGCTAACCATAAGGTTAGCACTCGAACTCATAGATGCTCTGCGGGAGAAAGATGTGGCAGTCTGCTTCCGTAGAGATCACAGCCTTGGAAACCCTATGGGGCAGTTCTACTCTGTCCTATAGGGTCACTGTGAGTCGGAATCCACTCGACAGCAATGGGTGTCTGTGTATCCAGCACCCAGCCAGTGGTATCACTGGGTGTAGCAGTACTAGTCCACATCAGCTGCCTAACAACCTAGGGCAAAAGAGATTTAAAAACAATTGAAACCTGAAAGTCCAAGGCTAGTTCCCCTGGAGTTCCTCCACACAGCATAAAACTGGAGAGTGGATCACCTACCCCCTGAACATCTATAACGGCAGGGACTCATCACCTAACTCCTGCCTAATGCCAAGCGTCCCATTACCAGTCAGCATATCCACGTAAAAGCAACCAAAGTATACTCCTCACAAGAGACTTACAGGCACCAGAGGGCGCAGGAGAATGGGTGGAATGT